GTGGTTTGAATGTATCTGCCAAAAAAGCATGTGTTGGAAGCTTAATTTCTAATGCAACAGTGTTGGGGTATGGGACCTAATAGGAGGTACATAGGTCATGAGGGCTCCAGTCACATAAGAGGATTAATGCTGATTATACTATAAAAGGGTTTGGGACTGCAAGTTTGATCTCTTGCTCTCTCTCATCCTTTCTTAGCCCTTCGTCCATGGGCTGACATAGCAAGAAGTCCCTCGCCAGATACTGGCCCTTTATCTTGGACTTCCCAGCCTCCAGAACTGTGGGAAAATACATTTCTGGTCATTATAAATTACCCAGTCAGTGGTATTCTGTCACAGCAGTAAAAAATGGACTAAGACAGATGAGAATGTACTGAAGGGGAGATGCTTGATAGACTGATTCTATTGCTGACAATCCAGACCAGCACAGTGGCTGAACCAACATCCATTCCAAAGGTGGAAAAGTTTAGGTAAAAAGCAATGACAAATGGAGAGGAAGAGAAATAGTAGCTCAGGGTAAAGGAATGAATAAATGGGTTATGAAATGAGAGAAATCCAATATTACATTGGTCCTTTGAGAAAGGCTCAGAGCAAGAGAACAATATTTTTTCTTAGTACAATTACACCAGATACCCAAAAGGAGGGAGCCATATGTTTGCTGAGATCACTTCTGCTTTCTGAACCTGACAAGGTCAAATGAAGCCTGCAAACCTGAGTGGCATTGCTCTGGGAGATATTTTGGTGAAATGATGAACTGGATCAATTGTTAGTTACTGAGTTAACTCTACTAATATACTAGTATCTATGGACTCTTACTTCAGGTTACATCTCCTATAAAAGATATCATTTGGGAAGGAATTTCCAGGAAGTACTCCCTACTGGGCCATTGGACCTTGCAGTGTACAACTCTTGGCAGACTGATTACTATGTAACTATAAACACTGATGACCAAATGCTTAGAAAGTTCCCTGGTTATAATGGAAAAAAATATATAGCAGTGGTATTTTCTGACCTGCCACAGTGTGTTATCCACAAATACAAATCAGCCCTGTGTTTGTGGATGGAGAGCTATTAAATAGAATAGGAAAGATAATAGGTTTCTGACGGGATTAAAGCAGTAGGCATCACATGAAAGTTGAATTCCCCTAAAGAACAGCTGCACCCTGAGAGGAAGAAGACCATGGGAGGCCTTGTGGCACAGTCAAAATAAATTAAATCTAGATGTGAATACTACTCATCTAACCCTAGTATGGGGGAGCCATCATTTTTGGGTACAAAACAGATATTCTAATTGCATTTAGGCCATTAGCACCCTATGGCAAAAACATGAATGGTATAATTGTAAAGATGTGGAAACACCCCAAGTGCCTATCAATACATTAATGTATTAATAAAATATGGTAAATGTATACAATGGAGTTCTACTCAACCACAAAAGACAATGGTGATCTAGCACCTTTTGTATTATCCTACATAGAGCTGGAGCCCATTCTACTAAGTGAAGTGTCACAAGAATGGAAAAACAAGCACCACATGTACTCACCATCAAATTGATATTAACTGATCAACACTTATGTGCACATATAGTAGTGACATTCATCAGGTGTCGGGGCAGGTGTAGGGGGAGGCAGGGATATTCACACCTAATGGGAGTGGTGTGCACTGTCCAGGGGATGGACACACTTGAAGCTCTGACTCAGGTGGGGCAAAGGCAATATATGTAACCTAAACATTTGTACTCCCATAATATGCTGAAATAAAAAAAAATAAAAAAGAATGGTAGATTTAGCAACATTGGTACACAAGACAGAAAAGGGTTTTAGGATAGATGGATGTCTATTTAAGCATATGGAAAAAGCTGAATTTTCTTTTGGTGAGGACAGAGGAAAAGATTTTGTGGACTAGAGTAAGCATAGAGGAAATTCTATTCCAGGGATAGGAGTCAATATAACAAAATTTTTTTTAAAAAGTTCATTGAAGATTCAGAAATAATACTAGATAATGCTAGGACCCAGTATTGGGAAACGGCTTGTACTCTGACTCAACATGGCCTCTTGGTGATTTTAATAGCGACAGAGACCAAGGTAGCCCTAACTATTAAGGCTCAACAGGGATACCTATGGAAATCTTATGGACTTTCAAACCTGTGAAAGTTACCTGAGGGCACTTGTAATTTACACTATGCACTTTGATTCCCCTAGCCTTAAGAATAAATCAGAATAAGACACTTCATATAGTAAAGTTAGCAGGGATAGGATAGAAACTATGTGATATTATCCATGTCCTCCTTGTAGGAAGGAGGCCAGCCTTGCTATATAATAGCTTACAATGGACACCAGTCTCTGTATAAGCTTATAAACTGCAATGGTGTGACTAGCTTTGTCTTCAACTGACTTGGAATCCAGGAATAACCTAATCAGAGCAAATTGTAACAACACCTGTCCATAATAAAATCTGGTATATGAGCAAGGGCCAATTCTGTTGATAAGGCATAGTAAATACTGTAATGAAATTGAATTATATAATGACCATATTGCAATATGGTGTAACACTGGCATGGTTGGTAAAGTTCAACTACCTCATGTCTATAAGTTATATGATAATACTGATATTGATGCTAAAACATGTTGGGAGGTTGAATTAAGGCCTCCTCAGGATATACTACCAATGAAAAATGACTGACTTGAGGAAGAATTGCATTTATCTAACCATCAGCTAATTTCTATGCAAAATAGTTCTGTATGAGTTTATCATAAGGTATGAATAGCAGTAGATCAGCCAGTCATAGTGGGTCACACTTGTAATTCTAGCACTTTGGGAGGCTGGGGTAAGAGAATTGCTTGAGGCCAGGAGTTTGAGACCAGCCTGACCAAGAATGAGACCCCATCTCTACAAAAAAAAGCCAGGAAAATTAGCCAAGCATGCTGGCATGTGCCTGTAGCACCAGGTACTCAGAAGGCTAAGGTGGGAGCATCACTTGAGCCCAGGAGTTTGAGATTGCAGTGAGCTATGATGTTGTGACTACACTCCAGCCCTGATGACAGAGTGAGACCTGTCTCAGGAAACCAAAAACAAACAAACAAACAAACAAACCAAAAAACAAATAGCAGTAGATCAAAGGGGGAAACTAGCAATCAGATTAGCACAAAAAATTTAAAGATGTACATAAAGGCTTTACTGGATGGATTAGTTGTGTATCGCTAACCCACACTGACTCCTTCAAAGGACAGCATGTTCATACTGATACTATTGCTGTATCTGTTATATAAATGCCTGCCTAAATGTAGATGATCAGACATGAGCATTTTGCTGTTGGAAACCCTGGGTCAAGGGCCAGGATGGTGTGGTCTGTGTAGTAAAGAACTTGGGTATTCAAACTCTATACATTCCAAAGAAAGGACTGGGCCTTTCTCCAACTTCTGGAAGATAACCTCTGAGCCCTGGAATATCCTTCCTGATGTGAGCGACATTGGGCCATGACACACAGTTATGTGCCTCTCTCTTGTGTGAACCCTGGTGATTTCATTGAGCCCACTTGGATAACCCAGATTAATCTTCCCATTTCAAGATTCTTAATCACATCTCCAAAGTCTCTTTGTCATAAGGTAACACATTCACAGGTTCTCGGAATTAGGACATGGACATCTTTGGGGAGCCATCATTCAGCCTATCTCACTGACCAAGGCAGGCAGGTGTAAAAAAAGCTTCCCAGAAAACCCTCTGAAAGTACTCAATGAAGTCTCTGTGTCAGGAGGTAACATGAACTTATGGGGCTGGGTGGAAGAGCACTGACAAAGGGCAGCCCCTGCTCTGTTCTGGTGATTGTTGCTGTGTAGGTGTTAGAGTAGGCGAGTAGGAGACAGGGATGAGACTGTATGCAGGGGCTTGAAGATTGGTAGCAGGTGTTAGAATAAATAACTCTTAAAAACAGAAGCTAATTAGAAAGGCTGATAACCACAGACAAGAACTGGCTTTAACTGGCTTGTTAGCTATCTCTGCCACCTTACATGAACTTTGGCTAATTATGATATCATTTGCATTGTGGTTTTAAATTTTCTCTGCCTTTGAAATCACCATGAGAATTTCAAGGTAATCATACAAAGTATGAAAATGGGAGGGAACCCAATTCTAGAATTACTACCCAAATTCTTAGTAAAAGCCAACCCTTTGGTCTTGAATATTTCTCCCCTCAATCAGTAAGACTAGAAAAGATCTAAAACTACTTCCTCTCAGGGCAGCTCTCTTTTGAACCTGCCCGTTCTCCTCCCTGAGACTGTACTTTTGCTTTCAGTAAGAATCTGTCTCTTGCTTAGCTCATGTGATGCATTCTGAAATTCATTCCCCAAGGAACACCAAGAACTTGGAAACAATCTATTCAGAGGCCAGTAACAAAGGAAGGTTGGTTCACAGCTGCCAGAGAAAACAGTAACCCAATGTATGTGTAAAATAGTTCAATTTTTGAATGTCAATGGTTTATTCAAATTTTTAAGTTTAAAAATATACTGCAGAGGTCAAAACAGAGCATATCTGTGTTCTTTGCTGTTTATACTTTTACAACGACAGTGAAACTGTGTTTGAACAAAGTATGAAGATAACTTTGTTGTTTTCCCATAGGCTAGAACTTTTTTTCCTAATAAGGAATATTATAATAATAAAATGTAATTTAGAAAATGCTTCACATTTAATTCTTATAACTACTATGTATGGTTGGTTTTGTTGTCCCTATTTTCAAGAGGAATCCAAAGAATTTAGAAGGTAGAGAAACGGCTTATCAAAGGCCACTAAGGGGCAAAGCTAGGTCTATATACTTCAGGTCTTTTCCTTCCAAATTCCATCTTTTTCCCATCTACCTTTCTGTATTCCTTTTCTCTATCTGTAACTAAGTCCCAATACTTATCATGATGGTCAACCTCCCTTTATTTCGTGTGGGTTATGCTGGGAACTGTTTTCCACAAATCAGAGGTACAGACTTACCCATGGCATCCTCTCTGATTTGTTCACAGATCTGCAGACCACAGCTCAAAGCATGGACACGTAGATGCTGAAAGGAAATAGAACGCAGGTTGTATCCAAAACCTAACCACTATCCATATTCAGCAAGAAAACACATTTTCCCACCATTCTTGCAGTATGGGTAAATGTGATAAAACCACCCATATTTCCCCTCCTCCTCTAAGAGAAGAATCTGTAGCTGTTCTTCAGAAAGGACTCAGAAGATGGGAATGTTAGAGGTAAGCACTGAAATGGCCTTGAATGGATACCTCATTTTGCCATCTCATTTTCAGTCTCACTTCTGATCCTTTTAACTGAATGGAACTTTTCTGATCTGCACGGCAACCTCTCTTCCTTCCCCTCCTGCGGCTGTGTTTTGTGTACTCCATACATTGACAGTGGCCAGCCATTAGTTGGCTTTTACTATTGATTCTTTTTTTTTTTTTTTTTTTTTTTTTTTGAGACAGAGTCTCACTTTGTTGCCCAGGCTAGAGTGAGTGCCGTGGCGTCAGCCTAGCTCACAGCAACCTCAAACTCCTGGGCTCGAGTGATCCTTCTGCCTCAGCCTCCCGGGTAGCTGGGACTACAGGCATGCGCCACCATGCCCGGCTAATTTTTTTATATATATATCAGTTGGCCAATTAATTTCTTTCTATTTGTAGTAGAGACGGGGTCTCGCTCTTGCTCAGGCTGGTTTTGAACTCCTGACCTTGAGCAATCCGCCCGCCTCGGCCTCCCAAGAGCTAGGATTACAGGCGTGAGCCACAGCGCCCGGCCTACTATTGATTCTTTTTTGTTGTGTTTTTCCTTTGAAAACTCCATTCAATACTTTGGCATTAAAAAAGCTTGGTAAGAATAAGAACAACATAATTCTCCCCTTTTCTGTCTCTGTGATAAGCCAACACCAGAATAAGCTGTGACCATCTTCTGTGGCTAAAATGACTTTTAAAATTTGTGGCTGTGCATAGAATGCTGAAACAGGATGTGCAGGACATTGGAACAGGGCCATTAGTCAGTGAAGGAACTTCCCTGTGCAGACGTGCAGGGAGGACATTGGAGGCTGAATTTTTGCTTTTGTTTTTCCTGTTTGTTGCCAACTACAAGTTACAAATTGGATACAAATTCCTTAACCTTTGGCCAGCTCTCACTTTTCATGTTGTCTAATTCATATGTAAACAAAGTTACACGTTTGACTTAAATATATTTTCCTTAAGTTTGTCCTCCTTAGTTTAGGGGAGATTGTTTAGTTTGTGATTTCCTTAAATCTGGTTAACTCTTGACTTTCTGGAACATTTTGCTGCAGCATTACCTAGGAAGTTTCAACCTAAGAAATAGGTACTCAGTCTGCCTGATCTGAACACCAAGTTACAGCCTTACAACTACACATTGTTCCTTAGTGCTGAAAACAAACAATTGGTAGCACAACCTGCTTTTCCTTAAATAAAATCAGGTAGGAGAAGTGAAAAGGAATAAGTGAAGGTGGGTATGACTCTGACTTTCAATCATGTCTAGAAATCACTCCCAATAGAATGGAATCCATGTTTTTCCCATCCTAATGGTAAAACACTTATTTTTATTTGTTATGACCCTAGCTTATAGTTTATTTTTGTGTTTTGAGCTCTATTCTTAGGAAAAATCCTTCTGATATCAACCTAGAAACTTCTCTGGAATCTTTTGTGTTGGTTTTTTTATTAGTTTCCTAGGGCTTCCATAACAAATTACTGCAAACTAGGTGGCTTAAAACAATAGAGATTCATTTGCTCACAGTTCTGGAGGGTGGAAGTCTGAAGTCAGGGTGTTGGCAGGGCCATGCTTCCTCTAAAGGCTCTAAGGAAGGACCTTGCCTCTCTCCTGGCTTCTTTTGGTTGCCAGCAATCCCTGGCATTTCTTGGCATATAGATGCATTGCTCTGGTCTCTGCCTCTGTCTTCACCTGGCATTCTCTTCCGAGTCTCTCTACGTGTCTTCTCCTCTTCTTGTAAGACAATACTCAGTGGATTTAGGACATCCTAATCCAGTGTGATCTCCCATTTTAACCAATTATAGCTGCTAAGACCCTATTTCTAAATAAAGTCACATTCTCAGGGTCTAGGTAGACATGAATTTTGAGGGATGCTATTTAACCCACATGGTTGCTGTTCACTGACTTAGACTAAGTCAAATGATGATTAATGATGTCAAATGTGAACATTTCAATTACATTTCTGAAAGTTTTATTTATTCAGTCACCTGAGGTTTGACATTTTGAGGATAGAGACCCATATATATATATATATATATATATATATATATATATATATATTTTTTTTTTTTTTTTTTTGATGCTATGAAGGTTTGGTAGGTGAAACTCAGTTAATCTTTTTGTTCACATGTGCACAGTCTATAGGCCTTTCTCTTGTATTCAGCACAGACAGATATTGTATTGGAGCAGTCAAGGCAGAAAGGACTAAATCCAGAATGCAGGGGCAGCATTTTGAATCCTCCCTGCCAAAGGCAGCATAAAGATGCACCCTGCTAAGCCCTACAGAAGGATTCAGACTAACACCTATGCTGTTATTTTATGAAAGTCCTTCTTGTCTAAGCTTTGGCTTATAATTGAATTTTAGAATTGAAATATAACACACACCCTACATTTCCAAGACCCAGTGGAAAGCCTGTCTATTAATAGTTGAAGTAGAATAAATAACTCCTTGCCTCTCACACTAGGGGAGAAGACCTGTCTGGGAGCTGCTGAAGTATTTCAGTGATGTGCTAATGCAGAGCTATTGAAATTTACTCATTTAAAAAAAATCTAACCTTGAGTAATCCATTAGTGCTGTGCCTAGTCTTTTCAATTTGACCCAATTCAGCAACAACTGATATATTCTGGGAAAGAAGGAGAAAGGAGCAGGGAATGAGCATAGTCATTGAGTGACTTTCTTTGCAGATTTCTTAACTTCATTTCTGGCCTTTAATTAGTCTCTCATCCTCTCTTCTGAATATCTAGACATCTGCTTACCAGTAGAAGCTGATGATAATAAGGGAAAATTTATAGGAGTAAAATTTATATAAGTGCCTGAAGGTGCTGCTTAGGCGTATGGATGGTGGGAGGTCCAGAATCTTGGGGGATCTGGAAGATCAGCTTCGATGATAAAATGTTGGGAGTCATGGGAGAAGTGCCTGCCTGGGGAACAGCAAATGGATCTAGGCACAGCAGACATGAGGAGGCTTGAAGCACAGAAACCAGATGAATCCCAAGACAGAAATACTGAGACAGTTATAGTTAATCTATGTCTTGAAGGCATTCACTTAATATTTGATCTGCAGTCTCTGCTGTAATAAAAATATTTCCCCACATCTACTAATTTTATGCAGCTATGCATGGGTTATCTATAGGGGAGCATGACAAATGATAAAGATAAATAATTATAACAGCAATTTGCTTTATTATATTATAACAAGGAAGCATGTTAGTAAGAACTTTTTGATTCCTGAATTATCAATTGCTCAAGCTGACTGTGGTTATTCTAGTGTTTTAAAACAAATTATTCTTTTCTATCTGATAATTGACTGTATATAGATTTTGAAAAGAAATAGTATTTTCCCCCCACAATGATCACTTTTAGTTTACTGTGGTTTATGAATTCTGTTTATTTATTCTGAAACTATTAATACATTTACTTACCTAGTGAATTTAGTAGATTGGTTAAGAAACTAAGTGTAAACTAATGAGTGCAATTCTTCATCACTCTCTGCAGTTTCAATCATCATAATATTTGTACAGTGTGAAAAAAGATGTCAGATGACTGCTAGGATTATCTGCTTTGAAGAGATTTATTAAATTGGTAATTATTTTGCTTACAATGCCAGCATTAAATTAATTTATTTCAAAATGTTAGAAGCAGACACATTTGTGAAGATATCATTTTTTTCTTCCAGGTATTTATGACAGATAACCATTCCACCAAAGGAAGAACACTTCAGGCAAATAATTTGTTCAAACTTTAATAAAATATTTCACCCTAATTTTCATTTATTCATCCATTTGTTTACTTAGAGAATGGTCAGTTTTGAGAGAGATCCTACTATGTGTCACTCACTCTTCTGGACACCAGTGGTTTAGGAGACAAAACAAGCCCTACCCTAGACATACTAGAGCTCATATTCTAGTAGGATGTAGTGGGGGTAATAGACAATAAACAACAACAGAAAATACTTAACGTCTCAAGTGCTGTCAAAATGTGCAGTGCCATGAAAAATGTGGAGCAGGGTAAGATGACAGTGGGTGAAATGGCATGGTGGCTTTTCAGCAGAGACTTGAAGCATTGAGGAAGCCATGGGCAGAAGTGGACTTATTGTGAAGCACATGAAGCTTAAACTACAGCTGCTTTCACTTGTTTGGGTCTCTGAGTGGTGAGAGTTGCTGGGCATTGTATTCTTAGTGGAGAGTGAAAGCCAGATTGCTATTGGGAAATATTTCTATATAAGTAAGCATTTCTGTTACAATGCTGAAGATATTGCCAAAGAAAATTAAAGATGACTACAAAGTAACCTCCAGACTTCCAATCATTTACTGGAATTTCTGTTCTCATTCCACATAAATATTAACCTAATTTTGTATTTGTGATTTTGTTTCTTTTTCTGAAAGCACATTCTTGGTCTTCATCATATAAGCTTCAGGTCCTGAACAACCTTTATCCTCTCCAACCCTGAATCAGATTGACAGAGGGAGATTGACAGAAGGACAGACAGGAGGCCTGTGTGGCTGGACCTCAGTATGCATGAGGGTGGTGAGCATGAGGGCAACAAAGCCATGGGGCGGGCAACAAGCCTTCTAAAAAACTGTGGGTTTTATTCTAATTAAGTTGTGAAACTAATTAAAATTTAAATTAGAGGAATTACTGGATATGACTTACATTTTAATCAGATTCTTTTAAAGGAATCACTCTGGCTGGCTCTGTGGAGTTAGAGTAAAGGAGGCAGGAGTAGAGGCAAGAGACCTGGTAGGACAATGCTTCTGTAGGAATCTAGCCAAGGGGAGATGGTGGTTGAGGCCAGGTCAGAAGCAGCAGAGGTGCTGACAAATGCTAGGATCCCACTGTGTCACCCAGGCTGGAGTACAGTGCTGTGATCATAGCTTGCTGCAGCCTTGAACTCTTGGGCTCAAGCGAACCTCCGGTTTCAGCCTCCTGAGTAGCTGGGACTACAGACACATTACTACACCCAGCTATTTTTTATTATTTTTTTCAATTTTTTGTAGAGATGGGGTCTTGCTACGTTGCCCAAAATGATCTCGAACTTCTGCCCTCTACTTCCCAAAGTGCTAGGATTACAGGTGTAAGCCGCTGTGCCTGGCTGGGATCAGGCATATATTTTTAGGGCGGAGCTGAACTGAGAACATTTGCAAGTGAATCAAATTGGTTAATAAGGTAAAGAAAGAAATCATGGTGCCAAGGTTTTTGGCCTGAATGATGGCCTGAATGATGGGTGGAGGTGCTATGTTTGAATTAGGGACTTGAATCAAGAGTTCAGCTTTGGAGACATTAAGTTTGAGATAGACATCCAGGTGGAGACACAGATTGTTGAGTATTGGAGTCTGTCACAGTCACTTTTTCATTCTTCCTTTTGTTCCTCTTTCCCTCCCTCCCTAACTCCCTTCTGTTTTTGTCTGTTGATTCATTAATTCAGTCATTCATTGAGTGAATACTTGCTGAACAGTTCTCTAGTGCTAGGCTTCGTGCTAGGTATTGAGATTACAAATAATAGTAAGATGTGATCTAAGCCTTCAACTCACTTTGTGATCTTAATATAATAACTTTTTTGATGCATTAAACAATAGAGGAAACAACTCAGTCAAGCTGATAACTTGATATTTCATTGAGTCTAAGTAACTATGAGTTGTAAAAAATAAAATTCATAATAATTTTCAAAGAAAAAAGAAAATACTACTAAAATTAACATAAATTTCAATTTTAGAATATTAATTTTAGATACAACATATTAAAAAGTATATCTTAGAATTCAGAAACTATAGTGCTATTGTTTACATCTATTGGGCTCTGATTTTCTAAGTTGTTGGCACACTTTATGTCATTTATTCATCATAACAAACCTTTGAAATAACTAATTTTATAGATGAGGAAGCTTAGGCATAAAGAAGTTAAGGAAAGTGGCACAGCTCTTAATTAATCTAAAGATATGTGATTAAAAGTGGGCATTGTTTGGGGTAGGGCTATGGAAATAAGTTACTGTAGTCAGGTTTCTGCCAAAGCAGCTAAAGCCAAATCTAGTTGATGAAGGCAGAAATGTGAGCTTGCGGAAGGTTTAGCTCATGTTTGACTCACGTCTAGTGAATAATTTTTCAGGAAAAAAATGATAAATTGCAGAGAGGACACATCATAGGACATCTTTAAAAATTTTATAGAATTATCATATATTTTCAGACAACTTTTTCCATTTCCTGAATAAAATTTCATTCTGTAAAAATTCAAATACTAAGCTGTAATAGTAAAAGAACAACAACAACAAAAAGCAGACATTTAATCATTTTGTTAAATTTACTTTAAGAGTTGAGAGACATGGGTTCTAGTCCAAATTCCATTTCTGAATATTTAGGCACCTGTCATTAGATTTTAGCATCAGTAAAGTTGGATTTGAAAATCTCTGGGCATTTTATATGCTTTACTAAGATTATAAAAATAGTTACTGCATTTTATTATGAGATATAGATAAAATGCCTTAGATAATATATAAATATAACTATTAATTGTTCAATACCTACCATGTGCCAGGTTGTTAGGTGCTTTATATAAGTTGTCTAATTCAATAATCACAATAGCCCTGCAAGATCAGGTTTATTATTATTGTGTTATAAGTAAAGAAACAAATTAAATAATCTGTTGAAGGTCTAACACAGTTTTGAATCCAAATTTCATGGTCTTTCCACTATGATAGTGTTTTTCCAGAAAGTCAGGGATAATCTTAAATGCAAAACTCCAAAAAATGTGTCAACTCTCAGGAAAAAACAAGACATTTTGGGGAGTGTGAGTCTAGTTAGCAGAAGAAGGTGTTAAAATGCTGACGCTGTTTGCCACAACTGCAGCCTCGTGAGGGATTTTCAGATAACTTCACACTCTTGTTTGGCAAGCTTTTTGTACAGAAGAACCTGCCAAAATTCACCCATTAGTAAAATCTAAGATTTCCTCAGGAAGTTCTGCTGTCATTAATATCATATTATGTAAATTATCCTATAGACATCAAAATGTTTAGGAGAACAGAACTATTCTGGACTTTCTTGGAAGTCTACATAACAATTTTAATTATTTAAAAGTCTACTTGGAGCATGAAGTATTATGATATTTGTGTACATAAGTATTCTTAATTTTAAACATAAACAAATGTTGAAGGAATAGTATAAGGATCACCATAACCAGCTTCAATAATTATCAATATATTGCCAATCTTGTTTCATCTATCACTGCCTACTCCTTGCTGTTTTTTTCCCTTGCAGCTTTATTGAGGTGCGCTTTACAGTCCATAAATTAGCCCATTGTAAGTGTACAATTGAATGATTTGTAATAAATTTATAAAGTTGTGCAACCATCACCACAATGTTGTTTTAGAACTTTCATTATTCCAGAAAATTCTCTCATGTCCATTTGAAGTTAATCCCTCTCCTACACCCAGCCCCAGGAAATAGTTATTTGCTTTTTGAATTTATATATTTGCCTTTTCTGGATATTTCATATAAATAGAATAATATAATATTTGTGCTTTTGCATCTGGTTTCTTTCACTTAGAAAAATGCTATTAAGGTTCATTCATGTTTTAACATGTATAAGTAGTTTGTTGATTTTTATTGCTGAATAGTATTACATTATCTGGATATGCTACATTTTGTTTATTTATTCACAACTTAAAGAACATTTGGGTTGTTTTTGGCTGTAATATATAATGATGCTATAAATATCCACATACAAGTCTTTGCATGCACATATGTTATCATTTTCTTTTTGGTAGATTTCTATGGATGGAATTGCCAGGTTTATGTTTATGTTTAGTGAGTTTATGTTTAACTTTTTAAATAACTGCCAAACTATTTTCAAAATGACTTCACCATTTTACGTTTCCTCCAGCAGTATATAGGGTTACAGGTGCTCCACATCCACACCAAAACTTATCTGTCTTTTAAAATTATAGCCATTCTAGTTGGGTACATAGTGGTATCACATTGTGGTTTTGATTTGCATTTCCCTAATGACTAATGATGTTAAACATTTTGCATTTTCTTATTAGCCTTTTATAAGTCTTTGGTGAAATGCTTATTAAATATTTTGCTTATTTTTAATTTGGGTTATTTACCTTTTTATTCTTGAGTTTTAAGTGTTCTTTTTAAATTTTGGACACAAGGCCTTTATCAAGTACATGATTTGCAAATATTTTCCCCTAGTCTCTGGTTTGTCTTCTCATTATCTTAGTGGTGACTTTTGAAGTGAGAAAGTTTTTAATTTTGATGATGTCCAATAGATCATTGTTCTCTCTGACGGATTATACTTTTGTTATTAAATCTAAGAATTCTTTGCATAAACCAGGATCATAAAATTTTCTCCCTTGTTTCCCTGTAGAAGTTTTATAGTTTTAGATCTTATATTTAAAGTTTATGATGCATTTTGAGTTAATTTTTGTACAGTGTCAGGTAAGCAGCTAAACCAGTGATTCTCAATTGGGGGCAATTTTGCTCCCTTGAGGACATGAAACATAGGAGACATTTTTGGCTGTCACAGCTTGGGAAGAGGGTCTACTGGCATCTGGTGGGTAGAAGCTAGAGATGTTACAAACTGTCATTC